AAATACATTACGTATTACAAATATGATGAGTTCCGTTTCAATTAATTACATTTTATTATCAATTTGATAATGCAGCAATCGTTTTTGTTTGATTGTTGATCACTCTCTCTCTCTTCTCATCGCTGCTGTTGTTGCTAATCTCCGGTTTGATTTCATTAAAAAAATTCATAAAAATTATTGCCAGTAAAACAAAAACAAAGGAAAGATTGATGATGTCTTTGCATTTTTATCATCAGCATCATGGTTGGTTGGTTGGTTGGTTGTCAACCTTAGGGATGTGATCAATTTTTTTCTTGGTTTTCTGGATTTTCTCATATAAATAACGATCCAAAAAACGAAAAATTTTTCATTTTCAGTTTTTTTTCTCCCAAAATCCAAAATCAATCAATTGAAATTTGCTTTTTTAATCAACCAACCAACCATGTATCGACAATTTACTTTGATTAGTTCAATGTTTTCGATTGTTTTAATAATGTTTTTGATATTTGAATCAATCGATTCAAATTCAATCGCTATCAATGATAATTTAAAACAATCGATTGTTTATCCATCGATTGTTTTTGATGATGATGTTGGATCAAGTTCCGAAAATAAATCATCTTCTAATGACACAACAACAACTTCGCCAACAACTTCCACGACAGTCAAAACTACCAATACTACACCGAAAACGACAATATCTTCAAGTAAAAAACCAGAATCATCCACAACTACCAGCACTACACCAAAAACAACCATATCAACAAGTAAAAAACCAGAATCAACAACACACGATTCAAATTCAACATCAACAACAACAACCACCCAAAATTCAACATCAACATCGACAACAACAACCCCAAAACCAAATGGATCAAAATCAATACAAATATCACAATTATCAATTATATTATCATTTGTAATCTTATTTTTAACATTTTTGTAATTAATCGATTAATCAATTAAAAAATCAATAAAAATTTTCAAATAATAAAAATCAATCAATCCGTCGATCATTAATTTTCAAAAGAAACACCCATTCAGTTGATGATTAACAATAAAGATGTTTTTTCATTGAAATTTTTTATTTGTTTTTGCTAAAAGCAAAATGAAACTGGGAAATTTTCCTGGAATCACTACGGCAATAATCAGATTGATTTGAATGATTGATGAATGACGAATGGCTGAAAGACTGTTTGGTATAAATAACTGTAACAATCAGATTTTGTTTCATTTTTCAATGTTTCTGATTTCTGTTTGTTTGTTTTTTCTCCTTTGATTGAAATCGCTGATTGAAAATGTATCGAAAATCCTCATCATCAATGTCGTCGTTTCGTTTAACCAAGTTATCATCATTTACATTGATTTTCCTAGTTATAATGTTTTTGATTGTTGAATCAATCGATTCGAATATGATTCCCGGTAATAATAACGATAACTACAACGACAAAGGAAATTTACCGATTCGGAAATCCGATACGAAAGAATTACCGCCACCAACAAAATATTCTGATGGTGTTAAGACGACAACTCAAAAAACAACGGTAAAAACAACCGAAAAACCAACAACAACATCCAAAACAACGCAAAAACCAACAACTTCCAAGCCAACAACTCATTCATCAGCAAAACCAACAACAAAAAATCCTAATGTAACATCGACAACATCGAAACCAAATGGATCGAATTCAATTAAAATTTCTAATTTAATAATATTATCATTTTTAATTTTATTTTTAACATTAATCTGTCAATTTTAAAAGGAAATCTTTCCGAAAGAATCTTTCCGAAAAGGAAATTTCCCGGAATTTCCAGGGAATTTTCCCTAAAAAAAACCTTCAAATTCAAACAAAAAATTCGAATAAAAATCTGAAATCAACAAAAACAAAACACCCCCACTTTAACCCTTTAGTCCATCATAAAACGATAATCAAATTACCCTAATCAAATTAAAAATGCTGTTGACCCTTTTATAATTACAAAAAAATTATTACAAAATTTGTAATAAAAATTTAAAATAAAAAAAAAATGAAATTTTTAAAAATAAAACAATAAAAATGGGAGTTATAATCAAATAAATATAAATAAAAAATCATTACAATCGGGTGTATTGTTTTGTTTTGCTTTGCTTTATTTGTTTGTTTGATTGATTGATTGGATCAACAAACGATATGTAACATTTTTATCTGGCTAAAAACCATGGATATATCATCATCATCATCATCATTTGATGATTTGTCATTGAAAAAAAAACATTTTTTTCCCCCTCCCCTTGGTTACCTTTCAAAAAAAAAATATTACAGGCACACAAAAAAAACTATTTTATTGTTTGATTTTTTTTGTTTGTAATTACCACCACTACTACTATTACTATTAATAAACGGTCTAATTCGAATGATGACGACTTGGATTTAATTTGATTAATTTTTTTGACATTTCTCTGTATATAAAAACATGTCAACCAAAAATTATTTGTTATTTTTGTTTAAAAAGTTTTCCGAAAAAAAAAGTTTTCAAAGAAGAAAAATTTTCACCTGCAAAATACCTGCAATTCATAGCGAACAAACCAAACGACAAACGACAAACTAGCGTTTTTTACCGGTTTTATTTAGCATACTACTAGCAAAACTAACAAAATTAGATAAGAATGTTAATGATGGTTGAATTATCTGTACAAGATGAACATGCACCGCACAATGAAACAACAAATTCAACATCAACATCAACAACACCAAAACCGAATGGTTCATTATCAAATATTGGTTCACCAATATTAACAACATTGATAATGTTTTTGGTAACATTATTGTATCGATTACAATGATTTTTTTTTCATTTTGTTGTTAACCCTTTTGAATACCGAAACAACAATGTGATTCACAAAAATTCTATCACATAATCCTCTCTATCTCGCACACCTAATCTTTTTCAAAATTCTAAAAAAAAAATTCAAAAATTCTAAAAAAAAATTCCAAAAAAAATTCCGGCTATTTTAACCCACCATTATTCTATTTATAAAATGTCATTTTCATTCATTTTTTTGCTTTTAACTTTTTTTTAAAAAAATAAAATTTTTTTTTTAAAAAAACAAATTGTCTACGTGATTTTGATCAAATATTTCATACCTGATTAATCAAATCAATCGATTGATTGATTGTATCGAATGATTAATCGATTAATCATCCAATTAATCGATTGATGGATGATGATTAATGAATTGGACACTTGAAAAAAATTTTTGTCTAAATAATCAGTCAACAATGTTGATGATTGATTAAACAATGATGATAATGATTCTTGGATTTTGATCTTTATCTTTATCATCATCATTATTGTTTCTTTGGAATTTTCAAAAAAAACAAACCAAAATTTAGAATTTGTTTGGTGGGGTGTTAATCGTAATATTGCATATTGGAAAAACGCAATTAGCCAAAAAATCATTGTCCTTTGTTTCTGGCGTTTGTTTTATCCTAAAAACAGAAAAAAAAGAAAAACAAATAGAAAAAAAATTTGGAAAATTTTTGTTTTCAAAAAAAAATTCTAAATAGATCAATGTTTTTGAGGATAATGATGGATGATTGATAAATGTCATGTGAACCATAATCAACGTAGAGAACATTCTATTTATTTTTTTTACCATAATCATTTGATTGATATAATAAAAATAAATTAACCTTTTCTCGTTTTGTTGACAGATGTGTTTTTTTAGAAACGTTGTTATCGTCGTTTTTTCTTGATTGTTGTTGCGTTGTTATCGATGATTATAATGATTATGATGATTAACAATTGATCAACTTGAAAAATGATTTGGAATTGAAAAGAATAAGGAAAAAAAAAATTTGATACAAATCAATCCTATTGGTCTTTTTTGATGGTTGATTGGTTGGATGGAAATAATACTTGAAATTATAATGATTGATGGGGGGGACTTTTGTTCTTTTTTTTTGTCACAATCAATCAATCAATCAATCAGTGGAATCGCGATTTGATTTGGGAGTTAATTTACGGAAATTTTTGAAAAGAATCGGGATTCTCAAACAAAAAAATCATCAAACGTTCGATTCGAACGTTTTTTTTCGAATGTTTGAAAAAGTTCATGAAACCATCCGCTAGACGGCGTTACTGGGTTTCGAATATTTTTTTCGAATGGAAAAAATTTTTCATCAAACAAATATTTTAATCGAAAAGAAAAAAAAAGAAAATTCAAACGAAAAAAATTCTCAATTCACAATGTTTCAATTCAAATTTTTTGTTTTTTGTTTTGTTTTTTGGGTCGATAAGAGAATCTAGTGATTAAGTTCGTTTTTTGAGGGGGAGAGAAAATGTTTGTGTTTGCGTAATTAATTAATTCGTTTTTTTTGATCAGAAAAATTTTTTTGTTTTTCGGTGAGTTTCACAATCCATTTAAGGTTTTCATGTTTGGTTTGTTTTCATGTTTTTGTTCATCATTTGACATTTGCAAAATTGATGTTTGAAAGCAAAAAAACATAGTTTTTGTTGTGAAAAATATATGTGAAGATTTAAATGTCAATTTGTTGTGTTTTGTGTGATTATTGAGTAATGTGATTTTTCAGTTTTTCAAATATTTCACTTTTCATCATCATCATTTATCACCACCACCACTATTATTATTATCATCTGTTAATCGATGCCATTCAGCAATCTGTCTACGTGGTGATTTAATTACTTCATGCCAATGTTTTTCCGTCGTTTGTATACCGGTTTTTGAACCAATTTCCACTTTTCCAATAAATTCATTACGTGTAACACGATCATGATCATATATTAAAAATTTTAAATGAATATTATCTAAACATTCATCCGATGGTATATCGAATATAAAACTTTCATTAAATACTGGTGATAATGTACGACGTTTTATATGTGTACGTTTTTTTGAAATACGTTCCTGATTATGAAATAAATAAATCTTTACGTATGGATCTTTACATGGAGAAAAAAGAAAAAATCATTATTAGAAAAATCCAGACAATGACAAATCCAGACAATAAAATCATTTGATCGATGATTTCTTCATAATCATCGAAAGATGATTAGTAAAAGTTAACAAAACAAAACTTACCACACAATCCGGTTAGATCCATTTTTGGTAAATTTCTTGCCTTTAAAATAACAACAGTTAAACGATTTGCAATCGGTTGATAACAAAGTGATACTAATAATTCACCTAGATCATGTATTTTGAGCTAAAAATAATAATAATCAGGATTAAAAATTCAAAGAAAAAGTAATGATTTATTAGATTACCTTATTACCAACTGGTACTAAATCCTGACATAATGTCAATTGTTTTTCCAATGAATCAAATTCAAATTGATTTAAACGGCAAAATGTTTCACCTAAAATTTCATCTCTTGAAAATCGATCAAAATTCAATACAACAAAATGTATGATTAAATTTTCCAATAGATTTGATGTTATACCATAAAATGTAAATTCTTCATTATAAATTGGATTCAATGATTTACGTAATACACGTGTTTTAGCTTTATGTTGTTTTTCCGGTAATAATTGCATTTTTACATATGGATCCAATGTACTATTATTGTTTGAATCTTTTGCCTGTAAATCCGTACAACGATTAATCACTAAGCAAAGTGCACGTTTTTCATAACTATATTTCAATTTAAAATGTAATTTTCCAAGATTTTTTACTGCCATTGTTGCATTATTATTAGTTGTTGTTGTTGCCATTGTTTGATTCGTTGTTGTTGATGATGATATTTGTTTATTATCAACATCGACATTGCTAACTTTCGATTCAGTTGTTGTTGTTGGTGATGCGGATGATTTTGATTTGATCGCTGTTATCGGTTCTTCATTGATCGGTGAACAATGTTTTGAACTATTACAACTTGATTGACTATTTTTACGATTATTACCACCAACGCTACCTGATTCCAAATCCAAATTACGTAATGAATTTACATTTTTCATTTCATCATTTGCTAGATGTTTGTTTGTTTAAAGGGAAAAACATTATTTTCAAAAACTTTAATAAAAAAAACAAAAACTCACGTGATAATCCACCGGTAGGACTCGGGCTTTTCTTTTGAAACGGATTGATTACAACGTTCGAATTACCACTATTTGCACCCGATGATGAATTTGGACTTCGAACAGCCGGTGTTTTACCAATTTTATATGGTTTTTCATTCGAAAATTTTAAATCTTTTTGTAATAATAATATTTTTGTATCATTGGTTTTTGCTGTTCCATGAACAAAATCTGTTTGATATAAACTACGTTTACGATAATAATAAATTGTTGCAAATAAAGCCAACAGAATAAAACCACTGGCCAAACAAATCGTTCCGATGAATGCTGCATTCGATTCACTTAAATCTGTTAGATTTATTATCGATCCAGTTGAATCTAAACGATTTTTGAAATGGGCGGAATTGGGAAAATTCAGACTTTAAAATCAAAACAGCAAATACAAATGTCAAATTACACATACCCGAAACGGCCAAATTATCCACCATAACATGATCATTATGAATCATTGATGATGGTGATTTTTTCCATAATCGAATCGTTGATTGTTGTTGTTGTTGTTGTTGATCATTATCATCCATAAAATGATGATGATTATAATCAGATAATTTTTGAAATGGATACATTATTCGATTCGTTCAGTGTTCTGATTCAATCAAGTCATAATGTAATTTTTTGTTTTTTTAAATTTTCAAAACAAAAACAAATTTTTGACACATTTGACAGGTTTGACACAGATGTTTTTTCGCGAAAAAATGTTTTCAATGTTTTTGATCTTGATCTTGATTTAGTTCAGTTTTTTTCGTTGGTTGCAGAGAAAAAGAGGCTATCGAAACATCATTGAAACAGAAAAAGAAAAATGGTGGAAAATTTTCATTTTTTTTATTTGTTTTGTTTGTTTCGCTCGTTACGTGAATGACGTATTTTATATTGCCAATTTGGTTTGCGTTTTCTTCTTTGGTTTTCGTTGTTGTTTTCAATGACAACAAGAATTTTGAGCCATGAATCTTGGAACCACTTTTCCTTTCCTTGTGCACACATATATTATATGGCCTTGTGGATGCGCATTTCGAATTTCTTTGCATATGTTTCTTCATGCGCAAATCGAATTGGAATTTTGGCATTTTAAGAATGAATGTTTTTTATGGTTTCAGCTCGGTTGCTATATCGGGAAAAAAATGATTTTGAAAAAAGTGATAAAACTTTTTTATTTTTGTTTTTTATTTTTACTTCCAACGAATCATAATCAAAAAGATGAAATGAAAAGTGGAAATAAAGAAATATAATCCTTGTTTGTTCTAAAATGAAAAAAATATAGAATATTCTCGCTCGCTGGCTATCTATATATACCGTATAACGTCTTTATCTACGATTCCAATCAGCAGAATTTATTAGTTTGTGGTTGTTTTTTATTTTGTTTGTTTGTTGAAAGGATTGTCGTCATAAAATGATAACGCAGAATCAAATTACCAAACAAAATATGTTTTCTGTCATTGTTGTTGTTGTTGTTGTTTTTGCTGTTGTTGTTGTTGTAAATGAACGTAGGCGTTAAAATATCTGTTTGTGTATGGAAAAATCAGAATTTTCCTTCACAAAAAATTAATCAAGAATTTTGAAAATTGAATCAAGAATTTTGTTTTTGGTAATAAAATCTTCATAAGTTACCCAGAAAAATACATCTGGATTGCAAAACATGTTGATGATCGCAAACTGTTAATGATGAGGGAAAAATCTTCTGGTTTTTTTTCTGGGGATTCTCGCTTGGTTTCAGATTTTTTTCTGTTTTGTTTTGGTTCAGCAAGCATCATCTGGAATTTCTTCTTGTTCGAAGTGGAACAGAAAAGTTTTCTCTTCTTTTGATGAAGATCATCTATCAAACGAAAAAATTTACGGGAAAAAATTAAGAGAGAGAAAATTTCCCTAAATTAAAAAAAACTTTCCCCGAAAAAATAAGGAAATTGATTTTGGAAAACAAAAATTTCCAATAAACTTTCCAATAAACTTTCTCTTCTTTTTATCATCAAAAAATTATTGACCTTTTTTTTCTTTCCACTCTTTTGTTTTGAAATTATCCTTGATATAATTATTCAAAGGAGATTGTAATGATAATTATCATCATTTTTTAAAAAATCAAAAATCAAATCATAATTAGGCCAATTTTTTCATCAAGTTTTTGTTGTTGTTGTTTTGCTTTGCGAAATGATTTTGTTGTTGTTGTTGTTTTTGCACCAACAACCGGATACGTTTGCGGTTTTTCAAGACAGACAGTCGAAAGTGAGGGAGAGAGAAAAAACTTGTTTGAATCATCGGGGAAGAGAGAGAGAGAGAGAGAGAGAGAGAGAGAGAGAAATGTTTAAGAAGGAAATCATCAAATGATGATGATTTAATAACCAATGTATAATGTGTGTATCATTGGCCATCCATAAATAACGATCATCAACGAAAACAAACAAAGAGAGAAGGATTTTTTTTGTTGTTGTTGTTTGGATTTGGATCGAGGATTGGAAACAAGGATGTTAGAAACCAAATTTCTTTCATATATTAAACGAGTTGATTGAAAAAGAGAGAGAGAGAGAGAAATTTTCACATCAAAATGAAAATAAAAAAAAAATTTATTTTTGGCTAGATGATTCGATCGAAGAAAGAAGAAGAGAAAAGTGAAAGTAAAAGTTATCATCATTTTCACCATAAATCGTTCCATATCCACATCATCATTTTTGAATTTCGAACGTCTGTTTTTTCACCATTTCGAACGTTTTCCACTTTCGAACGTTTTCCACAAAAGCGACATCCGTAAATTCAGTTAAAAAACCCGAATTTTTTCCCAAAAAAATTTCCCCAAAATCATGGGATTCATCAAAACGGAAATACGTTCCGAATCGGATTTAAAACCCAAACCTATTGTTGAAAATGATGATAATGTTGATGGTGATGATTCAACCACGACGACAACAACGATCATAAATCATGATAATGATGAAAAATTTGATTGGCGTAATCAAGAATTGAAATGGAAAAATATCTTGTTGTTGGGTATATGGCATTTAACAACATTAGTATTTTATTGTTATGCATGTGTAAATGATTTTAAAATACAAACAATTTATTTTGCTGTTGCTATTGGTATGATGTCCGGTATTGGTACATCAGCTGGTTCACATCGTTTATGGTCACATCGTTCATATCGTGCACGTTGGCCATTAAAACTTTGGTTATTAATGTTTCAAGCAATCACTATGAATGGTTCAGCATTATCATATGCACGTGATCATCGTACACATCATAAATACTCGGATACAGCTGGTGATCCAAAAAATCCAACACGTGGTTTATTTTATTCACATATTGGTTGGTGGTTATTGAAAAAAACTGATGCTGTTATCGATGGTGG